TAGACTGACAAGTCTGTTGATTTGTCATTTCCATCAAAAGTTCAGGTTTTTGGACCATCTGAAGGCAAGGAGCTAACAAGTCATGTAGGAAACAACGGTCGAGAAGTGAGAGCCTGACGAACACAGATAGCTGAAAAATATTGTTGGTAATGTGGAGTTTAAGCGGTATGATATTGATATTAGCAGTGAAGTTCCTGCTAAGCAATTAGTTTTTTGGGACTCTTGTTATATGGTGGTTTTCATAAAACGAAGACAAACTTTCGTTTCAGGTGCAAGAAGCATTAACGCACACTTCCGTAACAAACCAGGTGATTCTAGTTTACTTGCCGCCATCAACACCGGTCCAATATTTGCTTCTAAATATGAACTAAATCATTGCAATCTGCAGCTAGTTTTTGGGATTTCTTTCCAAAGATTTAGGAGTGCTATTCAGTACTTAGTCCGTAAAACTGAACTACCTGTTATTCGGAGTTGAGGAGGATATATGGCCATTAAAAAAGCTTTGAGCTCTTCATGATTACATGAACAGAACATTTCGTCGTTGCTCACAGATACTACCACTCTTTCCTGAAGTTGTTACGATAACGTCGTACTATGTTGATTTTCTTTTCTTTGAATGATAATTCTGTTTTTTTTTCTTTTTTTTTTTTTTGAATTAGTGTTCTCGAATTACTTGAAACAAATTGGACCAAGCAGCGACATAGTATGGGTTTACGTAATACGCCCTTCCAGTCTTCGCCCTTATCATTGTAAAATTGAGATCAGTGGCTCTGTGATAATCGTCAAGATCAATTGGTAATTCTGGCAGTTCCTAGAAAAACTACCTGTATAATTTTTGAGTGCACATTAGTCCTACGCTTATAAAGCCATTTAATGTTTTTTAAATGTTTCTTAGCTGACAGCAACAACATCGATTAGCAAAATACATTTGTAATCTGATCAGCATTTTAGAAAACAAGAGGAAGTAATATAAATATTCAGTAAGTTAATTTTTTCTCTTATGAAGATGGGACAGTAAAAAAACACTGGAGGGAAATTGATTTTTCTAATTGGTATTCTTTGGAAGTTTTTGTTCCTATTTTTTAGCTTTTCAGGTTTTGTAGCTAAGTCTATATACAGTATGCTGCACTAGGTAATGACTATAGCTTGACAGTGGCTTAAAACTCCTGACCGGTTTGGGGAGGGTTATTCATAGAAAGAATTTATAAAACAGGATAACATTGTTTTCTATAGCTAATTTTTTGTAGGTGTGTTTTTTTTTAAGTTGATTGAAAAACTGACAGACTTCCGGACTATAAAAAAATTGGATTTACTGTGTAAGAGCGATAAGGTCAGTTTAATAAATAGTATTTGATTAACTACCTCGGGCGCCGGGGCGCCGTGTAAGCGCTCAAGCAGTAAAACTTTCACTCGATCGCTAAGGCCGTAGTAACGAGTGCCTGATAAATCTAATTTAGAGTTTGGCTTCATGTCGCGAAGGCATAATACCAGTAATCTATTTAGTTTATATCTGAAATTTTTTTCTTTTTCTTCGAGATTCATCGTTCTATGATAAAGGCATTAAAAAGAAGAAGTCAACGTTTAACAACTGAAAATTTCCGGTAGCGAAACTTGCCTGTCAGCTAACCAAACTTTTTCTAAAAAAGGAAGTTTGTAGTTTATTAGAAAGCATTCGCAACGGTGTAGCAAACCTTCCATCTGTAAAATGGACAGTTCACAGTTTAAGATACACATACAGCTGGCGATCTTGCGAAGATCAAAACTTTAAGAGTATAAATAATCTAGCGAGATTGAATTTTTTATGCTGTGCTTTAGATCAGTCACTAGCTAACTATTAATTTTTTTTGGAAATTTGAAAACTAATTACCTGAAAATCAAAAGCTAGAGGTAGTAAAATATGAACAGATTGTTCATCGATATCCTTGTAAGTCGGGTGTATGCACTGCAGCATTTCCAGGACATGGTCGTACTGCAAGTTGGTTAAAATCAATTCACGGTCTGGGCATTCCGTGCACCATGCCCTGAAATTAAGTAAATTTGTTTGTAATCTGTGTAAATTTACTGACAAAGTCTGACCGCCTCTACTTTTAGCAGTGATTACGAAGCCATCAGTATTTCACTATTAATGTTAATGAGTAGCCCACTAAAGCAACTAAGAATAAACAAATATTCTCACCGCAAAACCGGAGACCACACAGATATATAATGCTCGTCGACGTATAATCGTTTACCGTCAACCGAAAGTGGTCTTGTTCTTTGTCCATCTGGTCGAGTAAAGTCGACGGATACCTCTATCGAACTCTGTGGATACATGAAGCCATTTATGGTTCTTCAAAAAAAAAAAAAAAAAAAAAAAAAA